CATGTTTATTAAAGGAGGGGATGACAATGCCCCACCTTCTCACACTCTCAGTTTACTAGATCAGTAAAATGTTCATACTAGTAGTATCAGGTTGCTGAATGGATCAGACACTGGCTGAAAAAAAGTCTGCAAAATGCCCAACCAAATGCCTGGCACTTCGTGGAATACATGTTAATTCCTGTTCTTTTGGATTGCTTTTACTTACAAAGTGTCTTTTAATTAGCAGGAATGTGATGAATGAATGAATGAGTAAATGAGTGAATGAATGAATGAATGAATGAATGAACAAGTGAATAATTGAGTGAAATCAATGAACATCAGTTTCAAATAGGAAGGGGCTATTTTTGTCTCTATCATTGTGTGATGAATGGAAATATGTGGCAGTATTATGCTTTTGTGACTTCACCATCATCTTACAGGCCCTTCTTGCCTTAGCACAAGGAAATGAACTCAAATGCCAGCAGAGGCCAAGCTGTTAATGTAAATTATTACAATGCTCAACTTGAAGACAGTAGGGAGTGGTTGGGATTAAGTAAACTAGAGATCACATACCCACCACACAAATTTAAACATTTTTAGACTTCTATGTGAGCCAAATAAAACATGTCTTGGGCTGGGTTTGGCTCAAGGCCCTCCAGCATTCGGCCTTTCCTTTTGTAATGGTAAAATGCATGGACTCTGGCGCCAACACCAGCCTGATTTCAAATCTGGTTCTGCCACTTATCAGCTAGTGGCCTTAGGCAAGTTGCTTAAACTCTCTGCCGGCACATCCAAGGGGCTGCAGTGACCCCCAGAGGAAGGGGCTCTAGCAGTGATCAGGAGCAAGCCCAGGCATGTATATGACAAAGTGCCCATCTTCGGATGACTCACGGGGCAAGAGGTGGGTGGGTGGGACTATTTTACTACACTCTTTTCCTTCTGCATGTAGGACAGGAGGAAAAATTTCTCCACGCTATTGTTGGAGACCCTATAGTATAATAACTGGTTCTCAAACTTGGGTCCCTCTTAGAGCCACTTGGAGAATTTAAAAATAGTGATTCCTGCCCTCACCGGGTAGCTCAATTGTTTGGAAAGTTGTCCCGTGCACCAAAAGGTTGAGAGTTTGATTCCTGGTCAGGGCACACACCTAGGGTTGGGGTCTGATCCCCGATCGGGGTGCGTAAGGGAGGCAACAGATCAGTGTTTCTCTTGCACATTGATGTTTCTCTCTCTCTTTCTCTCTCTCTTCCTTCCTCTCTCTAAAAAATCATTAAAAAACATATTCTCAGGTGAGGATTAAAAATATATATATGTATAGTGAGTCCTGGATGCCAAGCCTCACACTTTGATGTAATTGACCTGGGGGAGGGCCGTATGGTCTGGGCATCAGGTGATTCTAATGTGAAGCCAGGGTTAAGAAACATAAAAGATGCAATGAGGAAACAAATTATATGATTTTCAGGGACATTATGTGAATTACTTTTATGTACCTCTGCAGCATGCTATTTTCTTTAACAAATGAATGCACAAAGGCTATTTCCACTGGACTTCAAATATTTAAAAACAGCCATAAAAAAGCCCACCTGTGTTCTCATGCATAGTGGCATTTATTCAAATTGCTTTCTGTTAAGAGAAATGAATTCTGCCTTCATGGGACATATAGAATAACATGTGATTGTTGCTTTAAAATGTGAATATTCCATCAGTCATCCCTCTCTGCTTGAATTCTGCCTTGTTCTCTGTACGAACTGCCACCAAGAAAAAGCTTAAGTGTCTTACCTGATTTGCCATGAGGCCGCTTACCTATTTAGGTTAGGGTACCAGAGTTGATGAGAAATTATTTGGGAAGCCAAGCACAAGTTTTTGCTTTCAACTATTTATAGCAATCAGCTGGCTTTTCCAGCCCCTCATTAGATCAATCATGGCCATTGTCTTAGAGTTGAGTGGGAAATCGTTACAGGTGGAAGGCGCGATGCCTCTAATTCAGCAGAGGCCCCCCTAACAGGAAAGCTGCAAGGAATTACAATCAAATAGGAGACTCGTCGGGGAATGGGGTTGCTTCCAAGGCAGGATTTCTGAAGACTTTCTGGATTCTGGTTGAACATAAAATAAAACGAAAAGAGAAACAGCAACAGACCGACACAGACACAAGAGAAGCCCGGCCTTTCTTTCTGGCATATAACGAGTCTGGTGTTAAGCTTTCAGCTTTAGCCGAGATGCCACTTGGTACTGACACACTTAGATTTGGCAGTGGCTTATCTTTTTTACAGGCCATTTATTTGGGAATGTGTTTTACAGGTGGCCCTGGGTGTTGGGTCCAAGCCCCCGGCTTATGTAGCGTAGTGTGCTGCACATCTTTGGGGCCGAATCAAGTGTCACATATCATGGACTGCTGGGAGCCAATAATTTGGGAAGTTCTCCCTTTTTCCTCTCTTTGCTTTTTCCCTGGCCTGTTGGGCATGACAGTCAGAAGCCAGCTGAACCCATCATGAGGGGTGGGCTAATTGCTGGAGTCCAGATTGCTGCTCAGGCCCAGACGTGGGGTCTGTGGTGACCCTCCGAGCAGGTGGGTCTTATTTGGCACCCCTTCCATTAAAACCTGTCTCGGAAATCAGTTTATTTGAAGGAGTTAACGAAAGTGCTAGATATTTTCTACCCACTGGCAGAGGGGAAAGTAGTGCACACATCTGAATAAATAACTGAAAATGGCTTCTCACTGTTCAGGAAGTACAATCAATTTGAAATTAGGATTATGGAAACATCTGCGAAAATTCAAGTGTCATCTCAATTTGAGCTCATTCAGATCCTGTATTTTTCAACTTCCCAAGCAGTGCATTTAAAATCTAATCCTAATTAACACACATAGTTTAATTATAGCCAACAAAATATTCCACAAAAATTGTGTGTGCTGGTTGGGGGGATGGGTGGGGAGGGAGGAGGCGAGGGGGAAACCAGACAAATGTTCCCTGATTGTAAAAATTCTTGTTTGGTTAATAATATAAATCCACCAGATTTTAAACACACACTGAAGTTTGCTTATCAGGAGTTGAAGTAACATAAAAAAGCATGGAGCCTTTTTTTTATTGCAGTTCTACTCTTTCCTGTCTTCCTATTTCTTGTTAACCTGGAAAGAACAAAGACCTTGTTAATTTGGCTCAGACACTCTTTTGTGAAGACCTCTGTTCCTTTGTTTATTTTCTTTCTCTGATCAGAAGATAAACCTTTATGGTTGTGTTTGAGTACAAATAAAGAAATAAATCTACTTGCATAAAGCAAACTTTATGGTCTGTTGTTTTAGTGATGAGAAACACCTCTAAGGATTTGGAGGTTTAGCTGAGAGGCACACCAACACGTTTGGATGCTTTATTGGAACTTCATCCTAATCAACCAAAACACAGCAATCAGCCATCTTGCAGAATTATCGGTGCTTTCCCCTCCCAAACCTGGCATAAATGGGATGTGCAAAGGGAACATAAATTTAAAGAAAACAAAACAAAAATCAGACAAATAAGGGGAAAAATCCCATCTAGAAGCTTAAACATAATTTTAACTAAAACTAACTCTTGGAGAGAGCTTAAAAATTCAAGTTAGTCTTGATCAATCTGTATCATTATTTTGGTCAATAATACATCTAAGGGGAAAGCATGAGACTTTCTTATTCTCTTTTAAGTGTTTTGTTTCTTGTTACTCATGTTAAAATATGGAGGACTAACTACTGCTCTAGATTCTCTTAGCAGAATTTAATTATATCCCTAACACTGGGGGAAAAAATTCCTAATTCTTGGTGTTGTTCTGAAAATTTTACTGTGGTGTTCGTTGTAATGAAATTTGACCCTCTGTTAATGTTAAACTAGTGTAGGATTTTGAGAGTAAGGTGTGATATTTCTTATTAGATTAACGCCACTGTAATTTCCCGCATCTAAGCCCAGTCTTGAAGACAGAATTCATTTTCTTTGGCACTTAATAGTCTGTATACTTGCTTTGTTTATAAATCAATTCCATTCCTTTTCCACCATGATTTTTAGGAATTTTTAACAATGGAACAGTTTTCAGTTGATTAATAGTAATAAAGAATCACAGAGGAGGTGTTATGACATTTTGTTGAAAAGAATCCTATATTTCTCTGCAGAACCCAGTGGCTCAGAGAGGCCTATATAATGGAAACATAAGGTGTTTCTTTACTTAAAGAATAATATTTATAGACTAGATTCAGCCTTGAACATGGTCTGCAGAGTAAAATTTGATTAAGATTTATTGAAGAGTGGCACAAACAATTTATAATTTTTATTTACTTTTTAAAAACCAATTCTCCTTCTGTCTCATTTTCTTTCTCTATTTCCCTTCTCCTCTTTCTTTTCTAGTGTCTTGCCCTCCAAATTCCATGAAAGAAGAGACTATTCATTCTTAGCATTGTCATAGAGCCTAGCACAGGACCTGGCACACAATAGACAAGCAATAAATAGGATTTGAATGAATTCAACTTATTCACTGATTTCCATGATGAAATTGGAGATTTGACTTTTGGCTGGATGTAGGAAGGTAGCTATGGAATCAGGCATAATAATTTCATGCTGAAAAGGTAGCAAACAATTATAAGTCCCTTTTTCAAATGACATTTTATAACGAGAATGGCCAAAGCAAGTCACAAGGTAAGAATGGAAAGACTGCAAAGCATTTGGAGGTCAGGCATTGGGGTCAAACCACATGGGTTCAAATCTCATGTCTTCTTATTTGCTGTGTGAGATACCAAGTTGCTTCACCTCTGTAAACGTGGTATCCTCATATATAACATGGGTTTTAATATGAATCAATTGAGATAATGCTTTTAAAGTACCCACCCAGCAAAGTGCCTGGGAATTCATTTAAGATCATAGATTGAAGTGGTTATTATTAATTAGAAATACTTTCATTCTTGGCATAATAACTTAAAGGTCTGAAGGAAAAAATCCCACCAGCTGAACTGTACAGAACACCATGGATTGAACTGGCCCCAGATTCTCTCACTCTTTCCAGATACTCACGGCTGAAAGCTCTATGCTCTCTTTAGACTCCAGGCCCTGTTTCCTGGTAGAAAGTAGAAGCCATTGGCTTGTAGGAAGGAAGAGCTTGCTCTGCACTGAGGAGCGGAAGTTCAGAGGCGCAGAGATGCAACTACAAATTAGGAAAAAGGGAAAAGAGACAGTTAAAAGAGATTTTCCCACCTTCATAGTTCACATTTATTTAAAGCTTTCCAAGGACACTGACTCCCAGTGTGATGGAAACCAAAACCACACTTCACCCTAGAAGGATGCTCTCCTGTGTAACAGGCATTCCATTATTGTGCTAATCAGAAATTAGTGCTCAGGTCCTGCAAATTATTGTCGAAATTAGATTAAGAATACATTTGTAAAACCAAAACGAAAAGAGCAATGATTCTTTTTGTATTAAAATATATAGTCATGACACTACGGCTATATTTTTAGCCATAGAAATTGTAAAACACGGAGATACACACAAAAAATTGGAGTCCTGAGAGGGAATTTTATTGCCATGGCTAAGCTACAAATGAGCAAGCATGATAATTTTGCTATCAACTTGTTTACGTGTGATAAAGATGAGGTGAGCTGGGCTGATCAAAGATTACCAGCACCCACAGATCATGTGATCAAAAGATTAAAGATGGGTGGCAAGAGACAGTGTAGGGATGATATAGGCAGGAGTAGAAGGTTAAATATTAGATTTTTAACAGACCTTTGTGCGTTTGGGGCCTATAATAGAGGATCAGAAAAAACACTAAATGTCTAATGGCCATATTTTCAGGCCAAAATGTCACAACAAGGCAATATACAGCAGGTAGAGTCAGTTGGAAATGAAACATGGTCTGGAAATTTGGATTTCCACTCATAGGAGACTCACTGATATGGCTACGTGTTTTATGGTTCCATTCCAACTATGGTTGTAACATTGCCACCAGTTTTGTTCGTGGGCCAGAGCTGATTAATGTAGGGTAGAAATGCCTGGTGTAGCTGGACAAAAGAGATTCTCTTTCTAGGGATTTGAAACCTGAGCTGAGATATTTAGAGGCTGTTAGTTTCAAGCTATTGTTTCATTATCAGTGTCCTCAAGTTCACATTGCACAGGGTCCTTTTTCAGCCCAAGGCCTTGTTCAGCTCTTCCTTAGTTCTATGAGCTGTCCAGTATTTTTGCAGTAAATATTGCCAGGAGGGGGTAATAGTAAAGGGGAGGGCTTTGCATTAATTCACCAGTTTGCTTGCCACCAAAAGGACCCCACATGACTCATCACCTGTGTCCTTCTATTCTCCAATGATGGTGGCTGAGCAATCATACAAGGTCAAGAGGATTGGACAGCTAAGTATAAAAAAGTTGTTGGTTCTACAGAATAAGCCAGTTCGATGATTTATAAAAAACAACTCTTTGTAACAGTTCATTTCAATTTTCAAGCTTAGGGAAAATAAAGTGTAGTGATTAACTGGGTGGGCTGTGGAGTTTGAATCTGTTCTATCATTTATTATGTGACCTTAAACTATTTAAACTTTATGTGCTTGATTTCCTTATCGGACAAAATGGAGATAATATAGGGTTCTGATGGGGATTAAATGAGGACCTACATATAAAACATAACTTTATATATAGTACTTTTTAACAAATCAATAATGTTGCCAATTTTTTTTTTATTCACATTATTATGAGATATCTCAGAAAACAGGTTGGATAAACATTACTTTTTCTATTTTATATTTTTAAAAAACTAAGACTCTAAAAAGGTGAAATGACTTGTCCAAGGTCACACAATGGTAGAGCTAGGGCCATAATTTCAATTGTTTCAAATGTCACTTACAAATATTTATTGAGTGCCTGCAATGTATCAGATTTGGAAGATATAGGTCCTCACTTTCATAAAACTTCTAGTCTGGGGCAGGGGTCTGCTAATTGCCACCTGTAGGGCAAATTCAGCTCTTGTCTGCTTTGGTAAATAAAGTTTTATTGGAACACAGCCAATACACTTTGTTCAGTATATTGTCTGTGGCTCTTTCCTGCTACAAAGGGAGAACTGAGCAGTTGTTACAGAGACTGGCCCTCAAAGCCTAAAGTATTTACTATCTGACTCTCTTTATAGAGAACGTTTGCCAAATTCTGGCCTAGTGAATGTACGATTTATTGGCCTAGAAATGTTTTCTTTAATTGTAAAGGGCTAATAAAAACAAGAAAACAATTCCCTAAGAATATGAGAAAGTTTTTTTCTTTATAGCTTTCATTACACCCAATACAGTTTTTCCTCCCACTTTCTAAGAGAAGGGTTCTCTTTCTGCAACTATTAGAAGTTAGAAAATAGTTTCTGATGGATCCTCATTTCCTCTGCATTTAATCCTGGATTATCCCTCAGACCAATAGCGTCGTACATAGTCCTTGCTCTTCTGACTACAGAGGAGAAACAAGTGTTACGTTACTCAACTTGGCTGAATTACAAAACTTTTGACAGACACGCCCTTTAACCATGCAGCCTAGAAACTGTTCCTTGCATCCATTACTTAGTAATAATAAAATGTCACACACCTATATGTACTTGAAAAATTAAATAATTGCATCATTTCCGTTTTCCAGTTTCAGACTTTGAGTGCCTCTGTACACATATTTTAACATAATCTGACTGCTTTAACCTTTCTCATCTAAAATGTCCATGGTGACAGATGTGGCAGAATTGTTTCTAAAAGAAGGAGAGACTCTTCCACTAAAGGTGGTTGAGTCCTGCAAGGCCATTATCTGATCAAGTCCTCCTAGCCTTGCTGGTGGGGGCAACAAGTGGCCCTTGGACCACAAGACCCTGATGCCAGCATTTGACAAGTTCTCTGGAATAGCTTTGCTTAGGGAAGGCCTACGGAACAAAATCATTGCAGATGGGCTGCCTTGCTGGGACGCATGGGGCATGGGCATCTGATTTTAAAGATATCATTGGCAGTTATTTTCTTGATGAGCAGTGGCCTGGCAAATGCTGTGGAGAAGGGTTCTAAGCCTCGTTGCTTTGAAAGAGACAGGCTGGAATAATCACAACAATTGCCACAAGCAGGAACTTCGGAAGCCCATGGAATGCACAGCATACATGTTTGATGTCTTGTTCATGTATGGTCCAGCTGACTGGCTCATGCAAGCTGCCTGGAAGAGGGGGCACACACTGCCTGATAAAATAAGAGTAGTGATTTAGAAAATAAATGCTCAGGTTTCTCATTGCATTGCAGGAAAGGACGAATATTCTTGGATAGTGAATATTGCTATCTAGGAGGAGAAACTTGGTTCTGTCCATTATAGGTCAGCCAAACCCAGCTCGTCTGTGGAAAAGGGGTTTAAATTCTCCTAGGTGTATGAATTGCCATGAGAAACACCCAATTTAATGTGCCATCATGAGTTGACTAGGCTTTAGGAAAAAATGGTGAAAAGTAGAAAAAGATGTAGTGATTTAAGGAATTCTAGAGCAACTGGAATGAAAACTTAAATCAGAACTGGTATGCCACATTGTGAGTGTCAAGCCAATTAGAAGATTGTTACATGGCATTTTAAAACTTTTTAAATTTTGAAATCTTAGCATTTCAATCTTGAAAATTGATTTTGTTTGCTTAGTTCCCTCCGGGCCTATTCCCCACTGGTCTTGCTACTAATCCTAAATGTATTTTATCAGGAAGGGGGAAGAACTGTCCCAGTGCTAGATGAGTTCTAGCCTTGCAGAACTCCTTTGGTGGATGAAGAGGAGTCTGGGGCCACAGTGGACACCACGAAGCACAACAGAGAAGGCTGGAGCCACCTGGGCAGGTGGTGATGGGAAGCCAGTCGTGATAGATCCAATAGGAAGAAATTAGCAGCCTTGTTCAGCGTTTTCTCGTGATATTCCTTGTGTGCATCTCATGGTGTGCCTTAAATATCCTGTTGAGACTTCTGGGTCACCTTTTACCTAAATGTCCAAATAAGTTAATTTAGGCTCTAACCTGCTTTGGTTAGAGGAGTTCGGTTCTTTCTCCAATATATCTGAGGACCCTTGGGTAGGGCTTGGGGCAGATGCTTACAGAGCTAGTAGCTTTCTGTCACGCCTTGCTCCCAACCCTGACTCCAGGCTCCCCTTTGCTCTGCTCTGGTTTCCCAGCACCTCCCTAAGGCGTCCCAGTGTTCTTTGTTGGGCTGCGCTAGCCTCCGCTTCATAGACCAAGGCAGCATGCGCCAAGGCTGGGACTTCTCTGCTGTTCCTTGCCCTCGCTGAAGGGCCGTGGGAGCGGGGAGGAGCGCAGGGAGGCGAGGGATGGCCGAGGTGCACCGCAGCCCAGCACGGGGCCCATTTCCAGTTAGGGAGCAGACATACCTCCCGCCTCAGGTGGTTCAGTCATGGTGGTTTCTCCCTGGAGCCTGTTCTGCAGCCACATTGCTGGGGTTCCCCACTTTCTCCCACTTTCTCCTTCCTCTGCCCCAGGTCCCGTCCCTGAGTCATGTAGCCTCCCAGAGGAAGCCTATAAATCCCTTAAAGGGCTTCACAGACTTCAACGGCCTAGGCAGATACTTTTTTGCCTTATTAAGCTGCATGTGTTTAGCCCCTCTCAGTCTCCATTTCCCTATCCCAGACCAGGGCTGTAAGTACCCTATGAATGAGAAAACCCAGAGTAATGCTATGAATGTGGGGGGGGGGGGATAAAAAGGAAAAATTTTCCATTTAAGATGGGTCAGTCCTACAGCCTTCTCTTAGATCAGGGTTGGGGAACCTTTTTCTGCCAAGGGCCATTTGGATATTTATAACAGCATTCGCGGGCCATACAAAATGATCAACTTAAAAATTAGCCATGGAAAAAAGCTCCTAGATTCATTAAATTTCAAGTCCCTCCTGCAGTTGCCTTGGCAGGGCCAGGCCAAATGATTTTGTGGGCCGTATATGGCCCGAGGGCCGGATGTTCTTTGCCACTGTCTTAGATCAACCCTCAATCAACAGTCAGTTTATAAAACAGCAAATTTGATTTCCTTCCATTAGTCAGTAGATTGGAAGAGCACTGGTTTGAAGGCTGTGGAGCCAGGGTTCTTGTCCTGACTCTGTTTCTAATAAATGTTGTGACCTTGGGAAGATCCCTTACCTCTCTGATCCTCGGGCTTCTCCTCTGTAAATAAAATAGGTAGCTCAGCAC